AAATAACATGAAACTTGGATCTAAGAGTCCTGACAGAATACATCTTAAGAACATTTACCTAACATTATACTTGTACAATTTATCATACAAGTATCATTCCTATGCACAGTGAACATTTTTACACTTCTATACACACTCATCCTTTTCTCTCTCTCTTTTTTTTTTTTTTTTACCTGCCAGAGAAGTTCACTTAGGACAGTCGAAGAGAACTGAGGATTCTCCCAACAGCAAAAACGAAGCAATTTGATGGTCTCTTCTGAATTACTGCAGTCTTCAATAATTTTCTTCACATAACTGGTTCGTACAAACAGAATGTCTGCCACGTTCTGCTGAAGTGCCATTATAGGTTGTGATAAATTAGGATCACCATATGGGTTGGCAAGTGGGGGATTACCTAGAAGAAGCAGGTATTACTGATGAAATAAAGTAAAAACTTCTGGGGTTAACAAATGATACACATGAAGAGATGATGAACTTATAACAGACTACTTCAGCTATAAAAAAAGCTCTCTAGTCTAAAATAGCTAGACTTTATGATACTGAATGTGGCAACATGGAACCTGACAGCCATGTTTCCTGTCTACATGACATTAGCATAACTATGATTGGTACAGGCATGAGAGCTGAAGCTACTTTGCTATGCAAGAGGTAGCTGCTGGCAGGGTTTTCCAGTAAGGTCACTTTAACTTTAGAATGTACTTGCTTTTCTTTCCATCCAGATTTTGGATGGCTATCTGAAATAATCCATATAGGTTGAGCTTTAGATCATGCTTTAGTTCTGTAAATTTGCTTTTGTAAAGAGAAAGGTTGTTACTTTTTCTTTGAAGCAGGACAGTATTTTAAAATTATACTTAAAGGCACCAAGAGTTTGAGACAGGTGTTTTTATGCTTATTTTTATTTCAGCATATTTACTATACCATAGCTACTGACTTACATTTTGAATGAACCACACAAATCATGATTTCTAGTACACTATGGATAGGTGAATGTTTATTCATATCATATACACCTGAATAAAGACATGCACTTTATTTTGGGGAAGCAGAATAAAGAAAGCCTTTTTTTTTTTTCCTCAGTCTTACTTGCCATAGCAAGGGCTCACCATAGGTGAACACTGGTTGCATAGGGCAAGGCACAGTCCACTCATCAGTATTGGTTTCCATTTCCTTGCTGCTCAGCCAAAAGCTAATGGTTTAACTCTTTCACAGTCACTGACAAATTGGCAGCATCTTCTAGCTGTTCAGCCAATGCCTGCCGCCAATTTGGCAGTGGCTGTGAGAGGGTTAAACCTCTAGCTGTGGAGATCCAAGAGCGAGTGAAGTTGATGAATGGACTTTGCTCCATGCATCTCAGCAGAGAGTCCCTGGCAGTCATTGCAGAGTGGAAATCAGATTCCTCACTTAAAATATGCACCCTAATTTTGGATTATTAAATTTTCCTTTAAAAGGGGTGGGGAGCAAATGCAATCATATGCAACTATTAAGACTGCTTAATAACATTGCAAAGATATATTAACAAAAATAGATTAAGTGAAAAAACAACAAGTAACACACACTGAGAACAAAAACAACAACTGAAGTTAAAGCCTGCCAAATCTTCTGGAGCTTAGAATTTATAAAATAAAAAGATATGATTTCCTTCTCTGATATGCCAGCTCAAACCCATTAACTTCAAGGACTAAACCAAATTACCCTGACTTAAAACACCACATTACTATAGGTTTTGCTGTCCTTAGTTTCTCTACAAATTCCTGATTACATTCTTCCAAAATTCCTGAATTATACTCAATGAAGAACACAACTTGTGCTTTTTAGTAAGTTTCGTATCTCAAGATAAGATTTGGCTACTACCTCACTCTAGGATCAAGAAAAAAATTGCTGGAAAATAGAGTGCTAAGCTAAATATAATGGACATCAAAGATTACATAATAATATAAAACAAGTACCCAACACTATTTACCAATTTGCAGACAAGATGTTCAATTAATTTAAGGAAAACTTGTAAAATTCACTATACCATTGATAGAAGACTGCATGCGTGATGACACATTGCAACAGCGGATTAGTTGTGACACTACAGTATACAATTTGCCCAGTTCAGCATACTGATACTTAATTGGAGGACCTGGGCCTTCATCCAGAGCCACAAGCATGAATGTTGCAGGTACGTTTAATTTCAGAAGCTGTGTCTTCTCTGCTACACCTTTGGAGGGGAGAAATAATACATCTTGTGATTAGAACTGACAGCACTGTTTTATAAGCTTACTTTTCTCAATTACACTTTGGTATAATTGAAAAATAACAAATTCTTCCATTGCTAGCTCTCATTTTGATCTCTTATTTAGTTTCCTATCAGGAAAAAATAAAATAGTTAAGTCTAATGTATCAGGTCAGGTTTCATTTGAAAATTGCATGCAATGTCAGAATTAAAAAAGAAGCCATTTCCCACAATGGTCACATAAGCCACCAGAACATTTTCCTTTCTGGATTCTGACTTCTTCCCTAGTCAGATATTCTTGCTATGTGCCAAGCAATAATGAAAAAGCAGTACAAAAAGAGAAATTAAATAGAACAGGAGTATAACATTACCCCCTTTTTTCTAATTAGTAGTATTAAATATATTTTTGGTATAATCACAGAACATGTTTCTGCCAAAAGATGCCTTTGCAGAGAAAGGAATAAGCCTGTAGTGCTTTATCAAAGAGCTGATGGATTATCCCATGTTAATTGTATCATTCTTCTACGCTGACTTTGACCAATACCCTTTCTGTTCAGCAGGACCCTGTGAAATACCCAAGCTCTAATCTTCTGAATATTTTTCAGCAATACTGTCTTTGAGATCATCTTTCTTTAAAGACTTTGAATGCTGAAAGGCACCAGCATTCAGTGTGGAAGTGGATGAATAAGAATGCTTTACTGAGGTGATCAGTTCTAATCAAAGTCTTCTTTAATGGCTTTTTCCTTTCAGGTGCTGAAGAACTCAGCAAAACGAAGGAATTAATACAGTGAGTTACGAAAGAAAATATTAAAAACTGTACTTATACTGGATTCTAAACAACCACCTCGCATTCTTAGAAAATAATGTATGGACTCTTTCATGTTGATGTGACAGTAAACAAGAAACCTGATTTATAGACAATAATCACATCTAACTGATTAGGTTCTTTTGGTTCAATGAATGAACTGTAGCACTGTTGAAGTCAGATGGTGATCTACCACTTACATGGAACTCAATTTATGACCTTGTTTAGATAAGGATATGAAACCTGATGATAATGGATCTTAGGCATATCTTAACGCTATTGTGAAAGAGATCCAGAAAAAATTGAACAACTGGATTCCTAATATTAATCTTCCTTAAAATACTAGGAAAAATGCCTTGCATAGGGTAAGAGAGAAGGTCTGAGGAGTCACAAAGCATAGAATCTGCTACTATAAAATAGTTATGAAGCCTTTTTGGAACAGATTTCACAGTAATTTTGGAGGCACAGGGGGTTTTCTTTGAAGATGGTTTAGAGTTTATGCTACTACTACAGAGACTATTAATTTGGCTGCCAAGACTCTAAATGGCAGATGGATTAAGTGCACTGATCTGTTTGCCATAAATTACCTAAGGACATCTTTTTTTTGTACACACTTGAACTCAATTTGCCTCCAACAGTTGATTTTTTTAATATTATCTGATGATAGTATCACTAGTGAAGCATGCAGCTACAAGTGAGGCTTTGCAGGTCATTTGAAAGGAACTCTGAAAAGCCTTTTCCAAGGATGTTTTTTCCATGTCTTTTGGATCTTGTCGGGGGATAATGGGGATGGGACTCAACAGAAAGTGACATTTTGCCAGAAATGCTACTGAGGAGATGCTAAACGAAGGATCCCAAAATATTAACACCCAAGATATCAGTAATTTTAGAACTTGATAAACCTAGCCTTTTTTTCCCCCTTAGTTTTCCACTCCACTAGTGAGTTTGGAAGAGAGAAAAAAAAAAGGAGATGGCGAGTTTTGTTCCAGTTTTGGAAAGGAAGCATCTTCATTTCACTTTTGACTGCTCAAATCTGTTTGAATGCGTGGTGACCAACGTCAAGATCTAGTGAAGAGAACAAATGAGCAGGCTAACGCTAAGAAAGTTACTTCTTTATCCAAAACCATAGCAGAACATTTTGATGCTCCTGCAGCACTTTTTTCTTCAAGGGGAAAAAACACATGATAGCAAATTAGAATCTAGAATTAATAGTCATCTTTGGTGTCTGTGGAAAGATTTTGTTTAGCTTCCTTTTGCATCTTAGTTCACAAAGGATATGTGCATGTGTTTCCTGATCCTTGATGCTTACTTAGAGGAAACTGGAAGTTCTTCCTTAAAGATGCCCCAATCAGTGAAATATCATTTAGTTTCCCAAGTCACAAAAGGTGAAGTTGACTGATCTTCCCTTGTGCAGGTCTCTTTGCTGATGCACGTGTATATGTTTGCATGCAGTAACATGTTTCAGTTAGTTCTGCTGGGCATAGGATTTGAAGTCCTTGATGGGGAAAGCCAAAGCTCCTGGCCTCCCCCTCCCTCCCAAACCTCTGCTAGGCAGCCCAGCCAATACTACCTGGTGCAGGGTTTAAAGTCCCTCTGGCCTCCCCCCAAACCAGGCTGACAATTAGCCGACTGTTGGTCACCAACCACACATTAAAGGCGCCACACAGACAAGCCATAAAAACATTTTACATTGTAAGTAGAACATTTTTATGACTTGCTCCCCATTTTATAGCACCTTAAACTAGGGACATGCATAGCACCTTTCTTATTTATGCCATGATTAACATGTTAACTGTGGCATAAATGTAACATGCAGAGGAGGCCCCAGTATCTGACATACATGGAACTGCCAAGCACTCTGTGGCCTCACAGATAAGCCTAAACTATCTCCAATACTTTGCAAGAAGTTGCAGTCCAGTTGCATCAGACAGAGATAAATTAAAACACAGAATGATCTAAGTGGTATATTATCACTTTAACAAACTTGCATTATAGTAACTTCCTGCTTACATGTAATATACATTTAACAACTACATTAACAACTTCCATTTTAAATGAAAATAATGAAGCAAGTGAGAACAACTTATTTTTCAACTCATAAGTGAACAGCAAATCTCATAAATAGTGAAGTGGTTTTGACTGGCAGAAAAACACAAGTCAGTACCAAAAGAGAGGAATGATATGGTGAACATTATACGGTACACATCTTCTAATGAGGAAACAGCCATCCTATATTTCGTTTGCTGAAAATAAGAAGCCTAGATATTCAATCAATGCACCAAAATCAGAATCTAGTTTGATAAGTGCTGGACTCCAGGGAAATTAAGACAAAGTTCAGTTCTTAAGCTTGACACACTGACTTGGTTAAACAATATATGGTTAGAGGGAACAAAATGATTTGGCTCAGCTGATTTTTGCCTGAACATAACAACTACTTATAACATCAGAAACAAGGCCACGGTAACATTAAGAGTATAAAAAATGTACAACTCAATCACAATATTTCATTTCTACACTGCACTTAGTACTGCATAAATGTTGTACAAATGTTAAACTTCAAAACACCGGGGGAGATTTATTAATTTTTAAGTGCATATTAAAATTGTGTTATGATGTTTAGTAACCAGAACACTTCAGCGTGGGACTATTTGCAAACAAATTATTACAATCATTTTGGAATGGAGGAATCTAAGAGATTAATTGACTTGCTCAAGGTCACAGCAAGCTAGTAGTAGAGTTAAAACTTAGATATCATGAGTCTATAGTCTCAAACCTTCATCTGACTATTGCCCCTCAGACTATAAAAAATCTAAGACCACTACAGTTCAATCTCTGTTCCTTTCTAGACTCTGGCACTACTATATGACCTTGGGGGTGTGCGGGGGGAAAAAAAAATCACTGAATTTCTCAGTGCCTTGGCTTTACTCAATGATAGGCCACACTATTTTGTATTTCACAGGCCTGCTGTAAACCTGAATCTATTTTCTGAAGTGTTAACTAATCAGAACTGCCATATAAATCTCCAAAATTACTATAATTCCCACAAATCTAAAATGCCCTGTAATTTTCTGTTAGCTCACAGTCATCTCACATTTAGTTCAATCAGAGCATAGTTAGTTTTCTGCAAGTAAACATTCAAAAACATAGTATTATTGCACTAGCAATAAGGTTACTCAGTAACCTGCTTACCTAAATTGGCATACATCACAAACAGATTGAAATACTGTTGCAAATGACGCCCATGCTCAGACACTTCCCTTCTAAGGAGATTTAGTACCGCCCTCAGCAAGTGATCGCTCAAACTTAAGTTGTCATATGCCTATAAAACAAGGAAGTTCTAATATTAACAGCAGCTCCTACACAGTTTCCATTTAATACATGCACACATTGCAGCTCAATACCAGATTATGAGAATTACCTATTTAAAAGTGAATTGTTCCAGGCAGTATTTAGGTGAAATCTCTTTGAAGTATACTTAAGAAAGGTTATTTTGTAACATTTTCAGACTGCTTTAGTATTTGAAATGCGAGACAGGAGAAAAGTTTACAGCACTCACTCCTTTCCCATTAAAATACAACATACACTTGGAGAAAGAAACCTTTATGCTGAAACGTTAATTTTGATCAAAATACACACTCATGGAAACATAAGCAACAGAATATCCTACTCAGAATTTTAGTGGGGAGGGAGGGCAGCAAGTACTGATCTATTATCAATAATACACTGGAATAGTTTTTCCTGTGAATCACAGAATTACACTTTTTTCAGAAATTAAGGGTTTAAGATGGATGCAAACTCTTGGAGAATAAACACAATTACATATTTAAAATATATGATATACATGCTAATTGGAACCTGACAAATCATTATAGAGCAAACATAATAAAATAACCTATGCCCCTTAGCAAGAGCCAATGACTTCAATAAAGTAACAATAAACAAGTTTGTGGTTCATTGCACATGGGGCCCCATCTAGAAGGCAGATGTGAGCTGGAGGTAGAAAATGTGTCATGATACTATTTCAGTGAACAACTAGATACTCAAAGTTCTGAGAAGCTTTGGCCTAACTGTATGCCCTTATAAAACGTAAACATTATTGCTCATTTGAAGCAGAAAATAAGCAGTCTGTCTATACTAAAATGACAAGGCCAAACTTCGCTGCAAAGAATCTCAGCAATGCCCTCTTGTTTGCAGTTCTATATTCACGAGAGCAACCAGCTGTGAAGATTTCTTCAGAAGACCTAGATTCAAGATCACTCAGGGCAGTCACAGGATACTTCAGAGCACTTTTCCCCTAACCACTTCCTTGATACACCTCCTAAAGGGAAACTTTAAGGTTACAGACAGCATAGAAAAAAAATCAGGATTAAGAATTCAACTTCTAAGCTCCCCATTCAGAGTTCAAACACTGCTTTCTGCTTCTTTTCAGGTCTCTAGTGTTATGTTATCACTTCCTATGATGCAGTTTTGCCTTATATTATAATAAAGTCAACATATCAGGTGCCTTGTTAGCTAGCATGAAAATAAAACCTTCCAATCAAATGCTAAGTAGTGTTGATTTTGACTAGCAATTAAAGTCCTACAGATTCCCCAGACTAATCCAAAGTATCCAAAAATTCAGTGGATGTATTTATTGCCCTTAATCAAAGAACAGATCCAAGGTGATATGGTTAGTACTATGACCAATTTTCTAACTATACTAAGATAAACTGAACAATGAGAGAGCTTAAAACAGGTTAACAAAACACTGCCAATTCCAATGCTTTAATTGGTGTTGGATAGCAAATCAGTTCTGTGTTGATGGTAGTTTTGTTGAATGCCCTGCAGACTATACTGGCAATGCTCTTGTGGTGTTTTTCTGCTAGTAACTCAGTGTTCATGCGGTTTATGCTACACAAAATGGGTCCAAGATGGGTCCATCATTTCCCAACTATCTTTGCTCCATACTGTACTTTCTTGCATATCGTACGCACCTACATAAGATACACTCCTTGTTTTAGGAAGGCAGAATGAAGAAAAATATATTGGAAATCCTAGTTGAGTCCTGACAGCAAAGGCAGAGTACACACTATGCAGTGTTAGCAAAAGCCAGAGTTTTATCCCCCTTTCAGTCACTGCCAAATTGGCAGCTTATTTGGCAGTGGCTGTGAAATGGTTAAAACTGCAGCTCCAATTCTGAACACTGAATTTCACCCTCCCCTTTTGGGGTCAGCAGGGAGAAAAGCAATGGCAGCCATTACAGCGGTCATCCATGCTTCCATTACTTTCCATTATGGTGCAGAAAAAAATCAGCTTCCTTGCACCCCAATTTGGAGGGCTAAGTTTTGGGAAAAGGTATGTGTAGTATGCTAGTAAAAACAGTATTTTACAGCTGGCCAGGGTCAGAAAACAAAGAGTCAACTCCTCAATCTAGTGGTGGTTCTGGCCATCTTAATGGGTTGGTCAACATTTTTGATTCAAGTCTCTTCATGAAATACAAAAATCTAGAATTCTTGTTTAGAAATGGTACATTTTATTAGACCAACTAGGAAACTGCAAGAAAAAAGTATCTTTTTCTGCAAGCTTTTGGGCTCAAATGCCCTTCATCAGACTCTGGGAAATTAAAGATAGCACCAAGTTTCCATAGGTAGGAAATAAGCTTCATTTTTGCACAGAGTTGGAGATGGAAAATCTGTCCCTCTGGGCCCATGAGAATGTTTCTGTGAGTTGTTCTAAGTTGCTCTTTGTTGTGTAGATCAGGTAGTTTTCCTTCCCTAGAGGTGTCAGATGGCAAGCAGGGAGGTTTAAAAATCTTTCTTGTTGCAGTACAACAAGATTTTTAAACCTCCCTGCTTGCCATCTGACAGCTCCGGGAATCCTACCTAATTTACACAATAAAGAACAACTCAGAACAACTCACAGAGACACTTGCATGGACCCAGAGGGATAGATTTTCCATCTCCAGTTCCCTCTGTGCAAAAATTAAGTTTATTTCCTACCTATGGGGATTTTGTGCCATCTTTAATCTTCCCAGAGGGCATTTGATCCCAAAAGCTTGCAGAAAAAGGTAACTTCTCTTGCAATGCCCTAATTTGTCTAATAAAAGGTATAATTTCTGAACCAAGAGTTCTAGATTTTTCCATTTCTTTTTGTCTCAGACCACCATGGTTACGAAATACAAGATCTCTTTAAGGCAGAGACCCACCACTTCAGTGTGAAACCCAGAAATAAACTGAGACATGGGGCTAATAGTAATTAATTATGATGGCTGATAACCTAATTCTGTGGTTGAGGATAAGGAATAAACACATTTTAAAAAGGACATGGAGCAGTTAGAGAGGATCCAGGGCTGGGCAACAGAAATGATAAAGGGCTTGGAAAGTAAGTCATACCAGGAGAGGTTGAAGAAGCGAGGCATGTTCAGCTGTGGAAAAGGCACTTAAGGAGGGACATAATAATAGTCTTCTAATACCTAAAGGACTGCCAAAAAGAAGAGGGAAAGCACCTTTTTTCTCCTGCTGCAGAGACCAGGATATGGACTGATGGCTTGAAGTTGCAACAAAGTTTATATTGGAAATCCAGAAAAAAACATCTTCACTGTTTGAATATTGGGGCAATGCAACAGACTGCCTAGGGAAGCTGTGGATTCTCCATTGCTGGAGATGTTCAAGAAGAGGTTGGACAGCCATGCCTATGTTCTACTATCAGTATTTTCCATGTTTCTGGGCTTTGCTCCTTGGCCCTGACCCTCCCTTTCTGCTACACATATCAGGGTGTTTTTCAGCCTCAGAGGCATTGGATGTTGGCTACAGCCAAAGCTGGGGTCTTTGCCTGGGGTGTGCCAATGCTCTTGCAGGCACCAAAGACAGATTCCTGGGCTGGAGGGTCCTGCGCCTCTGCTCACGGTCAAAGTGACTGCCATATTTGGAGTCAGGAAAGAATCTTATCCCATGGTCAGACTGATACTGAACGTGGGGGGTTTTGTCTTCCTCTGCAGCAGGGGGCATGGCTCTCCACTTAGGGTGGCTTCAGCATATACTGACATTTCAGAGAAGCAGGACATTGGCTGCTGTGGTTCCCCTGCTTTACCTGTGGCAGGTTAGGGCATTAGGTCTGTGTTGTGTCAGGGTTGATAGTAGTTTTATGTAGAGAGTTTAGATTATGGACTTGTATAGGATGATACCGTCATGAAGAGGGTTGGACTAGATCACCTGTGGAGGTCCCTTTCAGCCCTACTTCTCTATGATTTTAAGACTGGCAAATGCCCAAGTGTATTTGGAACCTGTGCATCTCAAATATTTATAGATTACCAGTCACTACAGCATCCAGCTGCTGCCACAAAGCAACCTGACACAACAGTGATTTAGGTCTAAGGTCTGCATTTTAAAAAGGAAGCTTAAGAATGGGCAAGCAGCAATAGAGTCAAAAAAGGACTCTGCAATAGAAGAGAAGAATAAAAAAGTAAAGAGAAGAGTAGAGTCAAATTTGAAAAAGATTCAGTAACTCTTATCAATGGTAAAAAAGATGGGCAAAATTGAGATCAGACAGGAAGTTATTAGCATGAATGAACTGGAATCTGCAAAAACGCAACATTAAAGGACATGTGGGAGAAGGCTAATTTGTAATGCAGAAGAAAAACAGATAATGGTTATAGGGGGAACTTAGAGGTTAGACAGAAACATGCTTGGTGAAAACCTGGAAATAAAGCACATGGTCATTTTGGTGAGTGGGGGAACCAAATGAAGATGCAGTGTGAAGGAAATCATTGATACTTTGGGACACTATGATCACATGGCAGAGGTGGGTGAAATGCGGCTCAATACGACTTTTGTAAATGAAAGCTCATTTTGGAATATACACGCTCTGGAATATAATATGCACCTTATTTTTGAAAGGCAGAGTGAAAGAAAAAATAATTTTCTAGTGTTATGGCTAAATAGAGCAGGGACAGAGACTAATGTTCAGCTGACTAACCCTCCCTTACCTGTCTAACTACAGCTGAAACTCTAACTTACTGCAGACTCGTCTCCACGCATGGCTCTATGATGGCTACCAAACATCCAAGGTTCAGTCCAGGAACTTGACCTATCATGGTCATTAAAGTGGCTGTTGATATGGAGAGTTTAATTTTATCTCTTGCAGACCTTTAATATTCAAAATGAGTTTTTCTTAAACAGAAAGGACATTCCACATCCCTTCATATCAGTTCCCAAAACTCAGACAAATAAGCCACAAAAATAAGAGGAACTTCTAGTGCTTTTGGAAAACTGCAGTAATATGTCAGCAACAGAACTCAGAATTAATTGCAGACACATAAAAAGGATATTCATTCATTTTTAGCAGCATCTATATCTATTACTACTTATATATCTGAATTTCATAAAGGTAGAAAGCAGAATGGTTAATATTAGAGCTGGGATGCCAAGGAAAAATGGAAAGTCAGTCTCAAAAATCCTAACAGTAGACTGGAATATGAGGCTGCTTCTCATTCCTACAGGAGGGTGACAGGCTCTCAGACTAAGTTAACACTTGAACTGAGAAAAGACTCAAGGTACATAGGAGAGTACATCATTAATTATTACACAAGCATATCAAATTATGCATATATTAAATTTTTCATTTTTTTTTCCCCCACAACTCCTCGCCCTGGGTTTAAAGTACACAAAAAGAGTCATATCAAATCCCACCAGGAATTGTAGAGCAGAAAATTAAAGGAGACCAAACTGCAAGAAGTAAAATTATCAAGAGTTGAAACAATCCAGATTTATATTATTTTACTGAATGTATATGATGGTTTATAACAACATTTTGAAGGGTACAAACTGAAAATAGGTTTTTACTTTTTAAATCTTAAGACCGCACAATGCCATGACAACACTTGTTCCACACCTCTAACATGACCATATTACAGAACAACCCCTCTATGCCCCAAAGCAAAAATCCAGCACACCAAGTTGTAAAATTCAAGATTTTTAGTGGTCCTGCACAGTATTTGGAGACAAAATCATTCACAGCAGCACTGGAATTTTTTCCCCCCCCATCTGAAGAAAAAAACTTGAGGCTCAACCAACTAAATCCAGAAAAAAAATCTTTAATTTGCAACTTTCATGTTGGCAGTTGTTTCAATCTGTGCTAGCATTAAAGTTGACATAGACTGACTTTGATACAGGTAGAACTTTCTATTTCTTCTATGTGAGCCTTTAAGAACAAGCTGTAAAACAACTGAACAGCTGCTTAGACAGAAAATTGTAAATACCTGACTAGAAGGTCCAGGAGAGGCAAAAGGTGAAGGACATGGTCCATCTTGCAATGAAAAATGTGCAATAAATACTATAAGTTTTGCAAATGCCCCTCTCACTTCAGCACTAGGGCATTCCAAAAGATACTCAGAGAAGCGGTTTGAAACGTTAAAAAGGACATTGTGTGCAAACCAAAAGCGTACATTTTTGCTGTGACGAAGAAGAATGCATAATGCATCATACCTGAAACAGAAAGATACATTACAACTGTAGTATTACTGTCAATATTAAATGTATCTATATCCAGCTAACACTTAAGATTCACATGCCATAAAATATCTTTCACGTACTATTCTGAACTACATATTCACCTACACAGTTTGAGGGAAAATATTTTCTCCAAATAAAGGGCCTTTTTATCAACTGCTTGGCTTTAGAGTAAATGCAAGTACTTATCCTGATTAGAGTTCTCTTAACTTTTTTAAACACTAACATGAGATGCACACTGTGGCTGCTTGTAAACAACAACAAATAAATGAGCTTTACTGGAAGCAGCAGCACCTTACTTTGACTCAGCTCCGCAGCATATGTACACATCAGGCACTTCAGGGAGACTGGCGCATTTATCTAAAGCTTGATTCAATAAGCTATTAGATAAAAGTGCCAAAAAGCCTCACTAAAGTGCCCGTTCTGTACAGACGTCGGGTGAACCAGGTCCAACTGATGCGCTGCCCCTTTTGGGCGTGCACAGGGCTTGGTGTGGAAGCTTGAGGAGTTTAAAGTGCCATTTGGGGGGAGGGTGGAAGGGTTTTTTAAATTTCTGCAAGCAGCCACATGATCTCTATTCTGGTGTCCTTTCGTTCACCTTATTTCAAATACAAGTACTACAATACAAGTCAATATTTAAACTGAAAGGCTTCTGCTTCCCTATCCAGCAAATTCTAAAAGCCATTACACATAGCCCAACTTCCAAGCTGCACTCTAATGTAAGCTCAAGCTGAGAGCTATTACAAACTCACATTCTCTAAGGACTGGGTACTGAGAAGAGAGGGTGCAGGGGGAGGGAGGGGAGAGGCACAGAGTAGGTTAAAAAAGCAAAATATATGACAAATGACCTATATAGCATTTTATATACAATAATTAAGATATGATATTATATTTTTTAAGGCTAAGATCTATTTAAAAAGGAAGTCTTTTCCCCTGTGTAAATCATAAGCAACCCCTCCTATCTCATCAGCAGATCAACCAGAAATGTTTGCACTCCTTAACCCTCAGAAGTAATTAACAGCACTTTTGTGGACTAGCCACAGGAAAAGGACTCAACACATACCTTCCCAATATATTACAAAACTGTTTATCAAGTCTAACAAAAATACCACTCCTGTCCCCTTGACCACAGGTATTTGACTACCCCTAGCTGGGAGAAAAAAATTGTGATTATGGTCAAATGCAGGGGGCACACATCTACATATTCATTAATGCACTTTTGCTAATGAGCATTAAAATTTAGTACCTCTGTTGTGAGGTACTAGAAAACAGCACATTAGCCTACTTTAATGTGCATTAGTGAAAACATGGGTTTTTTTGTGATGCTTTGACATGCATCAAGATAGGCTAATGCACATTAAAGTGCACATGTAGACACAGCCAGAGAAACCAAAGCTTGGCCACTGAAAGGCGGTGTGCTGCAACAAAGATGACTGAGGTTTGTCTGGTCAAAGATTTGGGTCCTGCACCAACAGTGTCATAAAAAATACTAATTTATTTTAAAATGGTGAGTAGGGAGAGATCCCAGAGCACATTAATTAGAGCTTTTAGCTCTCACTTTTTGATTACAGAAAAAGAAAGAGCAATGTTTCTGTTCCAAAGAACTCAAAGCTCACAACAGGTCAGAATATTTTTAACGCTATGGATTCCTATTTCAAATCTCTGGGTTTCTCTTGTGAATCATGTTTGCATACCTAACAGTGCTAACACTGTGTGGCAACCCAAGGCACATTTGAAAGGATCTCAACATACCCCAAGGTGCTGTAGCACCCTGTTGAGAACCACTGCTCTAGCTGATATTTAAAACTGATATTTAACATAAACCTAACTACAGTTCAAAAGTAATAGGAGTTTATCTAAGCCCTTCATTTTCAACTACTCCCTATACAATTCCCCATTCTGAGTTCTCTCACACATTTTCAAAGTATAAACGGAGCAGATTCCTCAAAACAGCTTTGTTAACTTTATGTTCATAATATTAAAATCCCTCAAAGAAAAACAAATTGTCAAGACAGTAGTCGTTAAAATTTAAATATACCAATCACTAGCAGGGCCACGAACTATTTTCTTTGTGTGAAATCCTGTGGTGAAGAGAAATCTAGCAGCAAGCTGAATACTTATCATAGTTATTTCTTCTGCTTCAGGCAACAGATGATCTTGTCCTGAAGAAAAATGAGAAAACTCATGTAGACAAAATAAAAAGCAAATCATGATTTTACCCAGAATTGGAGAAAGAATTAAGACTAATGTTCTTGGCTGGAAGATTGTCTGTGCTTAAACTCATTAATTTAAATAGAAAATTTGTTTTAAACAACATTCACAATTTCTGAAATTTCTTATAACTAATTAAAGCTTATGTTTTCAAAAGGAGCGAGTGATTTTGTATTAAGACAGACCTGTTCTCAGGCATTGCTCGGCACCATACACCCTATAAAAAGGTTGCATTACGGTAAATTTTAGGCACTCAATTTTGAGATATTTTTGAAAAATCACGTGAGGGAATAGCTACCGAGTGAGAGTTAAATCAGCCAAAGCAGCTGCTGCTAACTACTTCTGCCTACCAACAAATATGCTAACAAAAGGTAATTCAATCTAGACTTCAAGAAAAACAGGGATGTTCAAAACAAAATGCACATTAATGCTTGCTGGAATGCATAAATTCTATACAAGGCTATCACAAAACCTTCCCCAACAATTCAGGTGAATTTTCAGTAAGAAGATACAGTTATAATCATTCAATTACTTACCTGGAGGAGGATTTAAGTAGACACTGTTACAAGTAAGTAGTTTCTTTATAAATTGGAAATATTCTAGACTGTACTGCATCCGGTTATGCATGAACTGGACGTTCTGTTTCCGTACACTTCGCTCAATGGCTGATGGCATTTTAATCTGGTGGGGTTTAGTGGCAACAGCAAGTTCTGAAATATATTTTATTAGTTCATTGTCTTTGTCTATTGTGTCCATACGTTCATAAAAAAGAATATAAGCATTCCACCACCTCTTCTGGCGTCTGTAGGACATACGTTTCATCATATGATCAAATACTTCTCCCATGTATTCCCCACCAAAACACTGATTTTTCATTTCTTCATCATCATCCATTTTACACTCAGTTACATCTCCATCATCAAATTTATACCATCGATTTTTCTCACCATCTCCACCATTCCTCTGGATAATGTAAGAGTAATAATGTCCACCACTGGCCTGACCACTGTGTACTAGTACACCAACAAGCCGGTATTTAGTGCTCCCAGAGTGCTCGTTTTCTGACTGTTCATTTTGTATCAACTGATTTTCAGGATTTACATCATCTCCCTCCAATTTAGCTACTCCTGCCACTGTATAAGGCTCCATGTCCAGCTCCCGCGGAAATTCAAAGTAATCATTGAACTTGATTGCACACTCCCTTTCCCAGTCATAGTCGAAACGTTTTAACTGGATAGCAAGAACTGGAGGCAACTTCTTAATCAACAGGCGCTTGACTGTATCAACCTGAAAATGAGACAAAACAGTATTTTAATAAGTATTACTTCTTAAGTTTCTTCTATCAACAAACGTTAAATTCAGAAACTAAACAATGAAATCCCATGTGGTAACTACTATCAAAGTGCATCAAAAACACAATCATATATTTGGAAAAATACTCTGAGAATCTTTAACATCAAAACCAATCTTTAAAGACAATGCTATAATGTAAACAGTTTCAAATTTTATAAGTGCAGCAAACATAGGCCTGAAAATTTAACAATATCCTCAACATCCTGCCGAATTGTGACAAATAATTGAAACAGCATCAGTTCTCAAAGTTCTACCATTGTTATTACCCGATCCAATTTAGGATTGCTAAAACTGCTATTATTTTGCTGTTATATGAATCTAACAGATTTCTATGTTGTTTCTAAAAGGTTGGCTTACCACAACCAGGAATACTTATTTTTTAATTCCATATTTAAAAACAAGGTCACATTAATTTAGATAGACTAGATATGTTGATCCTTTAAAGTCTGTGTTCCCCATACCTAGTCTAAGGCCTTTAATTAAGAAAAAAAATGTTTTCTGGAACCATATTAGTATGGCAAAACTACTCATATCCCCACCATATACTGATAGCATTCAGTTACTCTCTCAAAGACAGAGTTAAAATCCTTTTACTATTGTAAGTAGTATATACAAGTATATTATAAGTAGTAACAAACTTGCATAAGAATTAAACCAGAAAAGCATTGCTACCTTTTTATTGCATTTTTCACAATGATATGCATTTGCGCCTTCCAATAAGTCTCCCTTGACATACTGTTCCAAAGAATCAAGCAAGTTTTGGTGATTTCGAATATCTACATTCAGGGTTGTAAAAGATTCTTCACATTCGTACCTACAGATATGATCAGAGAAAGACAAAATGTATTCAGCTGGCAGTTTTATACCCTTCGCAAAACAATGTAATATGGAAAGTTTTGTTTAGCATTTGATCTCAAAAGCTGGATGCACTGAAATATGAAGCTATAATTTATTAAATAATAATACTTAAAATAATGCTTATAATATTCAAAACTTACAGCCTCCCCATCAAGGATAACAGCTGAGAACAGATTGTTTTAATTATTACTACAAAAGAATAGGTCTTTATGTTAAAAACATTTGTTAACTGCATAAAAACTATGAAATTATTGTATTGTGAAAGTCAACACCACTTTTCTCTCCCAAGAAAACAAATAGCTAGATATTAATGATACTGTGCCTGGAAAAATACAAATTTACTCCAAAAATGTGAATTCATTTATTGTACTATTTATTGCAACTGAAAACGATCAAGTAAGGTACAGAAATTTCTAATAATATAAACTGTGCATTTATTTACCCTCTGTTGCATTTCAGGGAAGTACTGAGCTCACTTATCACAGCTGATATTTGAGCAGTTACTACACATTTTTTTTCTATTTAAAGATTTAAAAACAAGTTGCATACGAAAACAAAATTTTATTTTCACTAATATCTTGGGTCAACACTATGCAAATTAAAAGAAAAAAGGTGGCCAACCATATTAGAAGACAACATCTATGAGACGGTTTAATTTTCTATAAAAGTCACTTTGGCAGATTACAAAAACACGGTACAAAAACACTTCATCAACAAGAGTTCAGATTGTCCAATACCGCCTCATTCCCATTTTTACAGAAAATGGAAGATGCCTGAACTTCCACTACTAGGAACCTAAAAATAGAAAATTAGAATGTGTACCACCTATAAAATGCAACCTTAACACTGTCCCCTACTGAAGCTGGCAATAGACACTTGGAATGATTGAGTAACAGTGATACCATTGTAAACCTGAGTGACTAATAGAATGCTACTATTATGGTGATGTGCTGTTCTGATTTGCACTACAGCATATAACTGTGTATATTCCAACTGTGTTCAGCTTATTAGAAAGAGAAGTGTGAAAAAATAGGAGGGAGTACACAGATAGAACTGTGAACAATCATCTAAATATCTGAAGGGATTCCATAAAGAAAAAGGGAGAATAACCTCTCTCTCTTGCTGCAGAAAGTTTTCACTGTTAGAACAATGAAAGAATGGAACAGACTGCCTAGAGAAGTAGGATAATCTCTATAATTGGAGGTGTTCAGGAAGAGGTTGGACAGGCACTGGTCTGGGATGATCTAAGAGTAGCTATGCTTCTATTCTACTATGGATATTTTCCATGCTTCTGGGGATTTGTTGGTTGCCACACTGGACTGGGAAGGATTCCTTTCCCCTCCTCACTTCCAATGGTCTTAATGTTACATAGGTCTTCTTTTTCCCCACCTTCCTCAGAAGCACTGGGTGTCAGCTGCAGCCAAGGCTGGGGGTTTTGACTAGGGTGTGCTAGTGCTCCTGTAGGGACTTAAACCCAGAGATTCCTGGATAGAGGGTCTTGCCCCTCTGCTCAGGGTCAGGGTCAGACCAATCACCATATCTGGAGTCGAGAAGGATTTTTTTCCCCCCATGGTCATATTGGTATGCACGCTGGGGGGGTTTTCCTCCCTCAGTAGCAGGGGGTGTGGGTCTCTTTCTTGGCTCTCTCAAACATATTTTAACAACTTTTGCGACAGTAGCAGTTGGCTGCCATGGTTCCCCTCTGCCTTACCTGTGGCAAGCTGGGGTGTTACTTTGTGGCTGTCAAGGTCACCTGTACGGTTTTGCTAACCCGCTGGAAAATGATTTGTACAGAATGGTCTGGATAGTAATGATCCTGCTTCAGGCACAGGTCCCTTCCATCCCTACTTTTTTGTGCTCTCAAATCCGCTTTTCATTGCTACATCTGTAGCTAGAATAAAGATTAGCCATCTATTTCACAGTAGTTGCTTCTGTGGTGGGCCAGTAGGGGGCACTCCTGTGACAAGTCAACCACCTCACTGCACCACACCAAAAACCCAAGCTTCTAGTGGGATGCCTACATCTGGCTGACCCATCTGGAGCACACCTGAAAGCCTGGAGTACGGCTGCCACCACCCGAACTCAGGTCTTTGTTTGGGCCCTGTGCTGCCTGGGATACACAGACCCTGTAGGCCTAGGGGTTGCTTAATCCCAGCAGGATATATCTGGGTGCTGCTTATACCCTGAAGCATAGAAAGTAGCCTCCCTTAGCCAAGAAGGGGAGCAAGAAGGCCTGCCCAACCCCTCTCAAGCACGTACAAGGCTGGCTATAACAGACAGCTTTATTGGGTAGAGAGGGTAGGCATGGGGAGGGGTAAAATTCAGAGAAGTAGCAAAAGAATAACCCTGAGCAAACAAAAGCAGTTTGGTAGCTTTTTTCATAGATTTCATAGACATTTGGGCTAGAAGGGACCCCGGAGGATCATCAAGTCCAGCCCCCTTCCCCAGGTGCAGGGAGTCAGCAAGGATCACAGGATCTCAGCAAGATAAGCATCCAAATGCGTCTTGAAGGCGTTCGAAGTGGGTGCTTGAACCGCTTCCGGCGGCAGTCTCTTCCAAACCTTGGGGGCTCGGACAGTGAAGTTCTCTCATGTCCAGCCTGAATCGGTCACAGTGGAGTTTGTGACCGTTCGATCTCGTCATCCCTTGGGGCGCTCTGGTGAACAGACGTTCCCCCAGATCCTGATGAGCACCCCGATAAACTTATAGGTGGCCACCAGATCACACCCAGCCTGCGCTTTTCCGGGCTGAATAGCTCCATTGTTCTCAGCCTCTCATCATAAGGTCTGTTTTCCTGACCTCTGATTATGCGCGTGGCTCTTCTCTGGACCCTCTCAAGCTTCTCCACATCCTTTTTGAATTGTGGAGCCCAAAACTGGATGCAGTACTCCAGCTGCGGCCTCACCAAAGCCGAGTACAGCGGGAGAATAACATCTAGGGATCTGCTTGAGAAGCAGCTATGGATGCAAGCCAGTGTTTTGCTCGCTTTACTAGCCGCAGCATTGCATTGAAGGCTCATATTCATCTTGTGGTCAACCATGACCCTCAAGTCTCTTTCTTCGGTAGTGCTAACCAGCATAGCACATGACTAGAGTACATTAAACTAAATTCCTAGTTAGGTTTCTGGACGAGAGAGCTGCAGAGGTCCATGCTTCTGCGTGTGCGTCTTAAAAATGTCTGCCTGCCTTCTTCTTGGAGGTACCCTCATAAATAGCCCTCTTGACCTCACTGCCTGAACCCAACCAGCATCAGGTATTTTCTCAGCATCACTGATGCTGACCAGTGGATTTGAGTAACACCAGCTCTCATCTTGAGGAAGGACCACTGCCTTAGGACTGCCCTCCCAGGCCAAAGGCAGGAAGCTTAACAATAGATCTGACCACAGAGGGAGGGGTGATTCCCCTCTCCAAGTGGTCCCCTAGGCAACCAGGTGGTTGCCTAGCAACCAGTTGACAGACACATGGGGGGTGGAAAGAGAGAGAGGGAAAGAGAAAGAGGGAGAAACAAACAACCCAAAAAGTGAGGAGGCTGAGAGGGAGTTTTCACAGCCTCTGGAAGCGCAAAGCAAATGTTTTTATATTTTTTGATGACTTGTTTGATTTATAATCCATGTTCCAGATCTATAAAGTGCTACAAGAATGTCAGAGAACTCGTGTTGCATCTCCTTATCAATTTGCTCTCTCATGAGAGGTGCCTACCGAAGTAAGGTAAGCGCTCGACTACCTCCAAGCTTTTTCCCCTCTATGGTAATTTGGGGGTGGGAGGGCTGGGTCACATTCATGGCCTGGAGCAGCCTGATAGGGCACTTTGGTTTTCTTGATGTTGAGAGGTGGTTCAATCAGCTTCTGCAAAGAGATCCAGTGTGGTCTGGAGGTTTTTCTCAGTGTGTGTAATGATGGCACAATTGTCAGTGTACTGATGATTGTTTGGAATGTTTTGGTTTTTTGAGTGAAAATGTCTCAGGCTGAAGAACCTCTATCTGTCTGGTATTCACTGTAGACTCTGAAAGGAAGATGGCCCTTAACAAGAGCCATCTGCTAAAAAAATGACTGCCAAAAAAAAAAAAATGGAGAATAGAACTGGGGCGATAACATTTTTGCTTGGGTCCAGTTCAGATGACAAGTGGATTGGTCTCTGATCCATTTGAAAAAAAAAGGTCCACAGTAATCTGCCAAGAGTTAGAGACCTTAGTGAGGTCAATGAAGGCCATGTACAGTACAGGTCCTGAAGCTGTTCCCAACACTTTCCTTAGATGTAGTGGGCAACAAAGATCAAGTCAATTACCCCGTGGGATGGTCTGAAACCGCACTTATATTCTGTCAGGACTTCCTTAGCAAGAGGTAGAAGACAATTAAAGAAGATGTGGGCAAAGTTTTTCCCTGCTGTGGAAAAAAGAGCAATACCTTGATAGTTCCTACACAAAGACTTATCTCCTTTCTCGAAGACAGTCACAATGTTGGTGCTCCTCGGGTTCCCAGGAATGTCTTTGCTCAAATTTGAAAAATAAATTAATGGAGTTTCAGTACCAGTTCCTTGTTGCCAGCCTTGAAGATTTCAGCAGGTATGCCATCTGGTTCAGTAGCCTTGTTGCTCTTGGTTCCCTTGACAGCACGATAGACTTCTTCTAGGATAGGCAGCTTGGCAAGGGATCCCCTTTCAGATCCCTTGCCAAGGGTGGCATCCACTACAGCTGACTTGTAGTTCAGGGGTGCCTTAAAGTGCTGTTAAACAATTCTGCAATCGCAGGAAAATAGGACCATAGGAGCCTGGATCACAGACAGCTTTTGTTGCCTGGAAGAAGCTATACACGTCATGTTTGTCAATGTACAGCTGAATGTCCTTGGGCTTTATCTTGCCACCACTGGTTTTTGATTTCCCAGAGTACTGCAGTAGTAATTCACATGAACCTTTAAGACACAAAAAAGTTGCGATGACATGCTCCTCCTGTCTACTCTA